ATGTTCGTAGAAAAAACAGCTGGGATAGAATCAGCATTTTGGAAGGCTGTTTCCAAATGCATTTCAATACTTTATTCAGGAACTACCTCTTCATACAGTAGTTTGAATGCTGACTTGAATCATGCACAGAAGGTAGAAAATAGAACACACTGTGCTCATTGACTTGAAGCTCCCCGGATTAGTTAATCATGGAAACAAGCTCCTTCATTCTGAAAGGTAATATGTCACAATCACATTTCAATACGCACTTATGTTCATAGAAACTCAGAATCAGTGGCTACCCTAAAGATGTTTGGAAATGCACTAAATCTAATTTTCACATTTCCAAATGACGTGTTAAAAAGTTATTTGAATCCATAGTCATGAAGAATATTTACCTAATGAATTAAAGCAGAATGCACATAAATATATCTCATTATTTTGCAAGCTCAACTTTAATCGGCAAAAGTGTTATTAAACTGACATGGTCCCTCCATCCCAATCAGCTGATTTACTAGTCGAGATCTGTTTGGTAGATTCTGAACTTCCTTCATAACTTCTTACAAGTGACATGCATACCTTATTAGTCTACATCCATGTATGGTATAGATTTAGGTATATTGAGAACTAGACTCTACATCTTAGTCTAGCTACTGTTTTGACTGTAAGTTACATAGATAAAGGACTTATGAGCAACTTGCAACTCCATGCTTCAATTCAATCAAATTAAAACCTGAACTTGTGAAAACTAACAAAACAAACAAAAAGATTTTTCAGCTTATTCAGTTAGCATTAATACTTGCAAAAATAATCAACTGGTCAAAATTAGTGTTTCCAATTATTTCAAAAATCCAAGTCACACATGAAAATAATTGATTAGTTGAATCCAAATGATTAATGAGCCTAACAATTAATAGATTAGCAAATTTTACTTGTTGTCCATTTCTAATTATCAGTGACCTTGATAGACCTTATGGTTTGCAGTCATGTTTGTCATTCTTAGTGTAGAATTATTAACTTTGAATTGACTTTTAAAATGGGTGTAATTTTTTTGTCATCAGATCACACTAGACTCGGTGTATGGATCTTAGATGGAGATCCATGGCAAAGAAACTTACTCAAATTTGCATTGAATGAGAGAACATTCCCCCACACAGTAGTCCTGTTTACAGTAGCTATGACCCAGCCTTGGAAAATGATGGAGTCACTGCAGAACTGGGCAGACATTCTAGAGGAACACATTAGAAGACTTAAATTGGATCCTGGGGAATTAGAGGAATATAAAGAGAAAGGTATAACTTATTTTAGTCTTTAAGAATGTGTATTATGATTGATTTAAAGTTATGTGTGGAAATTTGTATATATTTTTGGCCTACATTCAGAAATGATAAGTCAGCTACAATTGTATAGAGTAGTTACTTTTCAGAGTGTTGCATGTAGAGTAGGATTGGTAGGTTCATGAGTGTCCTAGGTATGCTATGATACAAACACTATATGACCTTTAAAAAGAAATCATGACTCATATATTTTTTGTAGTTAGGGTTAATGAGTCCTTTATGGTTTTTTTTAGAAATATATTGCAATTAAATAACAATTTCCAGTCACAATAAATGAAAAGGAAATATACCAGGGTTGCTAGTATGGACTGAGAGGCAGAATATTTCCAGTGTAGCAGTACAGATACAGGAAAATAATGTTTAAAAATCATCTGAATTATGCATGGATTCAGAAACAGAATAGCTGTAACAAGGATGGAAAAATTTATATATGTGTTACTTGACCCTAACAAAGAATGGGGTAAAGATAATATAATATACTGAAACAACCTGTATGGAAGTCTAAAAATTTAAATTATTCCTAGCAGAATAATGATAATGGAACCTTCTAATAGGTTTTTGATTTTGGTTCTTTTTAAACATGAATTTGAAAACTGGATATTTTAGTAATGTATGATTATTTTATTTTATGTATCCTATCAATTTGTATGTTTGACTCCATTTCTTGTGATACATCTTTATTTAACAAAGAGTATAAAAAATGTATTTGTATGCGGTGATTTTTAGCTTAAATACATGTACGATATGTTTTACCTATTAATTTCTGTCTTGCCTCCACATTATGGAGCAAGTACTTTGTACTACATACACAACTTCTTGCAATGAAGTGCCCTTAGCTTTCAAGGGTTTACAACTTGCATATTGTTCTTTTGTAATCCAGAACAAAAATAAACACTTCAACAAAAAAAATTTCTGATTGCGTATGACTTGACTTACATATAGCTTTCCTGATTCAGTTTTACCCTCTATACACAACCATTTTGCTCATCACTAGTCTTGAGGCTCCTATCTGAGCTCACGTGTTTCTACATGATATTGTTGCATGCAACTGAGCATGTGACAACCCTCCAACAATTGGAGTACAACACACCATCCTAGTGCAGCTTACTCCCTGTGTACTGCTTATTTAATCTTCACTTCTCAGTTCGGTGTGTGACAATGTGTCCTTTTTTTCTTAATGAGCTTTAGAATATTGGCATCTTTTTGTGGCAGTATCTGCAAAAACACCAACTATTGTGGAAATGTTCAGTTTGGATTTTAGTTTTCAAACACTTTTGCACCTGCAGATTTTGTGGCCTTTTAATTTCACCTTATGAACTCACAAGTGATGGTAATTTCCATTTTGTTTGGGACAGGAGGATGTTCACACTAGACAAACACCGTGGCATCAGGTACCTCTTTATCTTTTGAGGAAGGTATGGCTGTTGTACAATGGGAGAGACTGAGTCTTTCATGTAGTCTGGACATTCTTTTGAACCTGATATACCTCCTCCTATGAATCCCTTTGGTGATGAAGGAGATTTTGACAGTCATTTCCTACCACCTACCTTTGCCAAATCTTCTACCAATGCCTTGGCTTAACATCAGGCTGTATTCCTTTTCTTGGACTCCTAAACTTTGGAGTCTCTTCTTCAGGCTTGATGGTTAGATCCTCTATTTTCTGTTCGACTTTCTTGGGTCCAAATTCTTTGCCTTTATCTTACCCTCACTATCCTGTTGTGTTATTTTCCCTCCCTTTCTCTTCTTTTCAAAACAATCCACCCTGTCTCTGTATAGTTTTTAGGTGGACACTTATTCCCTTATCCCTTCTACATTGGTGCATTATTCTTCCTCAGCCTTGTCCATTCTGACATGATTTCTTTGTTTCTGGGATTTATTGTGGAGGGATGCCCTTTTTGCTCAGGTATATTTGCCCCCTCTTATTTCAGGGATATTTGTCTGACTTCTTTCCTCTGCTAGGGTCTGTTTTGTTGGAGTACTTTATTCTCTGGAGTCATAGGTTGAAGCCAGGAGTCAACATTCTTTCTTGTTCTCCCTTGTCTCCTGTTTCTCCATAGCTCCTTCCTTTCCCATTATAGTCTCCATCCTTCTACATCTCCTTCTCTCCTTGTCCTTTCCTCCTGTTTCTCTGCTTCCATCTGTTCTTCCTCTGAGAATAGTTCTCAGTGCCAACAATCTCATTGGTGACTATCCTATAGGCTCAGGACCATTAGATTCCTGTTCAGCTTAATTTGCTGATCCAGGGGTTCCATTTGTGGCCAACCATTTGATGCTATAAGTTTTACAGAATAGCCTTGTTTTTAATTTTTCCTTTCCTCTTCCATTGCCTCACGTTCCTGTTCCCTTTCTTCCATGGGATCCTGTGTCTCGTCAGTGTCTTTCAGTAGTGGTTTCAGACTTGTGGGCCAAGGACACTGTCAAATGGAGTTTCTCATTCTTCTCCAGGATTTCACTCTCTCCCACCAGAACTACTACAAACTTACTCTTCTCTTTCTTTGGAAGGCAGCTCATTTTGGTTGGTCAGTTAGGCTGGAGAGGTCTTATCACACACCCACTTAGTATCTGGTTTGCTTGGGTGTGTTTTTCATTTTTCATCTCTGTGGGGCTCAACCTTCTCAGCTTATTTGGTGGGCCATGATGAGTTTGGTTTCCACAGCTCTATCCCCTCCTTTTCCTGCATGGGAGGTTCTCTCTCTGTTGTAGGACTTGGGCTTCCATAGTACCCCTTATTTTTTGAGATGTGCTTATTTACATCTTTTATAGTCGACTGCATGATCTGTGGAACCTGTCTTGAAAACCTTGGTCCTCCCTTATTCATCTTCCTCCTTCCCTACACAATATTTTCATCTGGTGGCTTGAACAGAACCATTACTGCAGAGGATGTTCCTCTTTCTTCCTCACATCTTTATCATTATCTCTTTACAGATGCTTCCCTGATGGGGTGGGAAGCTTCTCTCAACTCCTCCACTGACTCAAAAAACCTTGAGGAATTGCTCTGAGAGAATTCATCAGTCTTTGGATCATTTCCTTCCAGTGGTACATAGCCATTTGAAAAGGATTCATGTGGACACCTCCTCTGTGATAGCCTATATCAGTTATGAAGGGGACACTCAGTCTTGCTCTCCCTGTTTTGGAACCTTCAGCCTTTTCTTCTTGGCCCATTCTCTGCATGTCTGCCTTGTGGCATGAAATATTCTGGGTGTCTTAATTCTTGTTGCTGATTGTCTCACGGCCAGACAAGATTTTACCCATGGAGTGGTCCTCAATTCTCATGTTTTGTAAAGGCTGTGCTCTTTTCTGGGCACCCCTCACATTGATGCCTTAGACACTTACTACAATACTAAGCTTTTTCTCTTCTGCCATTTTTCATCCTGATCACACATTGCTCCTTCAACCATCTGCAGCACATGAGGTGTGCATTCACACCTGTATCTCTCTCTTTCTATTTCTAATCTACCTTCTCACTTGGATCTTGTTTGTCTCCTCTTTCATGTCTGTGTACTCCATTGTTAGTTGGCCCTTATTTTTTCTTTTTTTTTGGTTCTTGGTCCAATCTTTTAACTTGTTCTATTACTTCTTCCACTTATGTTCCTTCTCCATTTACCCTCTCTGGATGGATTTATCAGCTCATCCAGTAACATATTTTTCATTGGTTTGGGGGTTCATGAGAGCAATTCCAGGCATCCTCCTCATCAAAGCCATCACTTTATGAACCCTTTGGCTGCTCACTTTCATCATCCTTGTTTGGATTGACATTTGGACAACTTCTCACACCTTTGTGACACATTATCTCCATCATTTGGCTATTTCTTCTTTGTCAGGTTCTGGATACCTCCGGTCACTATTCTCCAAACTTCTTATCATCACTGACTGGGTAAGTTCTTTTTCCTTATCTTAATTTTACAGGGCCATCTCATGCCTTCCTGGACCCCACTCATTGGCAAGTGTTGCCTGCCAGGATATACTTAACCAAAATCTACATGGTGTAGGGTCATTACGTTCTGATATAGTACTCACTCATTTGATGGGGTGTTCCACAAGACTGCTTGAGGTATCCTTGTGGTGCTCATTTTCTTAAATAAGGCCCAATACAGACCATAAACACTCATGGGCTATCATGAGTTAAGCAAGCAGGGGATCCCTGCCAATCTTTCATGCCTAGTTTAGAAACTAGAGCTGGCCTGCTTTTAAAAATAGGGTGTTAGTGGTCACCTATTGCACTGTCTCACAGTGATGCATTCCCTTAGGCTTCCTAATCTACTTTCACTCCCCTTCTTCTCGTTCAGGGAAGCCCTTGCCACTGGAGTTGTGGACCATTGAGGCTACTTTCTGAATGTGACCAATTCCATTCAGTACAGAATAGAGTGGTGGTGTTTTGTTCATGTGCTACAGTTCACCCCTCTGGCTGGCTTTCCCCCATCCTACCACTGCCTGGATGTTGGATTCCTGGAAAGTCTGGTGTTGGATTGGCACAGGACCAACCAATATAAGTCCTCACTCATTTGCAATTCAAATGATAAATTCCTGTTCTTCCTCACTGGGCTTCAGGTTAAGATGGTAGGGACCCTCCTCCTACTGAGAGCTGGGTGATACATTCATGGTTTTGGACAGGAAATAACCCCATCATGTACAGTCTGATGAACCATAGCCACATTACACATATAGCACTTCCATGTGCCTGTTTCAGGTTCTGGCCTGTGCTTGTTTTTACTGCCCGTCCTAGCAACACTTCCTTTCTTTATGGGCAAAGAGTGTATTCTGGTTCATACGGGGTGCAGTATTTCATGGGTGTGTCGTTATACTGTTCCATAATATAGAGTTTCACACTCCATAGGTTCCCTTCAGCCACTTCCTGAAGGGACCTCATCCAGATAAATTTTGCACCAGTCCCTCCACTATTTCAGTGTGGGATTCCAGCTGTATGTGAGAGGAGATTACACACTTGTATCAGAAGTTAACATATTCACACATTTAAAATGTATTTATTATAGATGTGCATCCCATCTCACACTTTTCACCCCTTCTTTCCCACTTCCATTTTATCTTTTCTAGCCTAATCTCAAAGTAATGTTTGAACAATCAGTATAGATTGAGTTAGCTGTGCTAGAAGGGTGGAAGGTTGTCATATGCTCATTTGCATGCAACAATACAACAATATCATGTGGAAACAGGCTTGTGAGGAGCAGAAAAGTTTGCATATAGAGGGAAGCACTAAGTCTGGAAAACCATATGTGAGAGGAGGTGTGTATCTCGGAAATAAATTTTCAGTGTTGGAAAATGTTAACTTTGGTTTGAGGATTGTTGATTGTAGAATTAATTTTAATTGAAAAATGTTTATGTAATATTCCTTCTTAGATTTAAATAATTATATTTATTTCAGTGAAAAAGAGATTTAATGGCTACCTTGAACCAGGAGCAGAATTGGAAGGATTTCCTCTTTTCGGACGAACCAGAAATGAAACACTGGCTGCACCATTTGCCCTTGATGAACATACCTTAACTTGTAACTTGGGACTTGATTTGGTAGTAGTTGTCACTAAGGTATTCCTCATGTTCTGCTAAGTTGTGACTTCAGTTGATAGTAGTTGCCTCTAAAGTATTCTCTGTGTTCTGTTAACTTGTGACTTGATTTGATAGTAGTTGCCACCATGGTATTCTTTATGAATTGATAGTAATTGTCACTAAGGTATTCTTTGTTTCATCTACTCTTGAGCATCTTGCAGTCCAACAATATTGAAAATGTGTTTCATACAAGTGTAATTGTATAAAACACAATGTAATTGTTTTAGTGAACCATGTTTCTTTAGGTAGTTTTATAGTTTTGTCAGGCAATGCAAAGATTTATCTGTATTATAGAAAACATTTTTTAACTCTATTGCCCCCGGGTACCCTTTACTGCACATGACACAAGGTTTTAGTGTTTTACATTCAAAATTTTATTAAACTACTTTTTGTTTATGTTATACCAGTTAGAATAGCATAGAATCTCAGTTAATATTCCATATTCTAATAGCATACAAGTTTTAAGTTCTTAGTTCTACAAGGCAATACTTAAAAAAATCCAGAATTACGCTAGTGTGACCCATGTGATACATTTTCTCTTAGCATTTGATCATATCCATTTTATCCACTACCAGTCAAAAAAGTAGAAAGTTAAACGTAAATTACTCTATAAAATCGTTATTGCTCAGACAAACCATAATTTTTATAGCCTTCAATTTTGTTTAGTTACAGAGCTATCAAATAGAATATCAGCCCCCCCCTCTCCTGCCACACCTACCTGTCACATCCTCTCTTTCAGAATTTGTTGATAGTTTTCACATTTCATTACATATTACCTATAACCAACAGAAAGTCAATGTTTTCATCTATCAAATGACGTATTGTATATAATGTTATGTTCTGAACAGATAATCTTAGAAAGTTAACAACTAGCTTGGATGAATTTGTAAAAGCTCTTGTCGCATAGTTAGAAAGCCAGAAAAATTTTGAGAGGTAAGTGAAGTTGTCTATTTTTTGCATGTTGTTAGTCTATATTCTTTGGTGCATTATTTAATTAAATAAAAATTAAGTGCATTACTATCTATGGTATAAAAAATTAGGGTTAACTCTCTTTCGAAACCCAACAGCAAGAAAAATGATTAGGTTAGTACTTTATTTTTTGTTTTTCATATTTATTCTTTATTTATTATTGTAAAAGTAACTAAAATCTAAAAATATGGATCTTTTTAAATTATTTAAGACTAGATTAGATAAAATAAGTAATAATAATAATATAATTAAAATGATTCAAGAGGCACACACGCGAGCAGCTTGTAGTAGCTCGTGGGTAATGTAAATCCATAGCGTAATGTGATCTGCATGTTCCCTGAGTGATTTACAACCTATAATGGCACAGATAGTAGTTAGACATGGTTCAAAGAGCAATAGAATGATAAAATTTAATTATAAATAGATGTATACTGTTACAAACTTAGAGCTATTTAGGATACACGAATGAAGTTTCATGCTACAATTTGAAGTCATTCTAGAAAGAAAAAATAGAGTAATTTAGGTTTATTTCGATTTTTTTTTTTTAATGATGGTTACAAGGTTGGTCGAAATTGACCGATCCTATTTTGAGATAGGATAGAGAAAATAACAGATAAACTATAAAGTGTTACTGAAAAAAAAACATGTTTGAAATGTATTCAGTAGGTTTTAGGGATTACTCAAAGGAAATTTGAGATTTTTGAGATAGGAAAAATATTTTTAACATGAAAATTACTTTGGACGTGGAATATTCAAAACAAATATTCAATATATTCCTGGACAAATCTTTATTTTATTTTATTAAAAATACTTCACTAAAAAATATGATTTTTTTTTGTATGTCCAAGACATATAATATTGTTACGTCTCTGTTCGTTTGTTAATTTTCCGTATAAATTCTTTCCGAAAAACTTCAGCGATACAAATCCTTTCTCAAATAAAACTAGTTTATTCTTTCTCAATTCAACTTTGCAATACATTTAAGTTCCATAGTCACTTTAACTTAAACACACGTTATAATTCTCAACAAACGATTCATGCACTTTACTTACTACCGCACTTGACTCAGTTGTCCATCTATATCTTTAATCTCTCTGTCTGCCATCCAATTGTTGCTGTCACTTTATTTGTCGGCTTATATACTATAAGAGCACGGACATTTGACAGGTTCCTCGATCTTTCCAGATACTCATTACGTGTTACCAGCATCATGTGACTTCCGCTGTCATAACAATATTAAGTGAAAGTCTGCCAAATATGTTAAAGATATACACACTATATTGAAATTTAGAAGTATTAAATCTATAAAAACTTGAAACGAGAACAAAAAAGGTCATGTGGTTGGTCAGATTGACCAAGCCCATGTTGAGATAGTTAAATGATCTTTCAAGAGCTAACTAAATAGGATAGTCCCCTGTATATCAGCAAACTTTTACTTTTCCATTTGAATTTTGTTTAATAAAAAAAACAGATAGATGCTCATTGAAAGTGGTCTGAGGTTGGAAACACACACAAGAAGTTTCATGAAGTTATGCAAAGTTAAGTCTAATGCTCTCCCTTCAGAGCATGTGAATAATCTAAAATCCTTCAACTTATGTACAATGATGAAACTTTGTAGAATGGAGGGCAACTGTAGAGACACAAGTGTAGAGAACGACGTTTCTAAAGTCTTCTGCCTTTCGTCTTCAGGTCAGTGTGTGTGTGTATGGTGTATGAACACATCAAAACTGATCAGAATAAGGTACTCATCAGATCCCAGGATATTCTGGTCAGTTTTGATCTCATAGACCTATTTACCAATGTTCTAACCTCAGAAACCCTTCACATCACCAGACAAAAGACTGCTGAATAACAGCTCTACCACACAGAACTGAAGTGAAGATAGATGCCATCATGGAACTAACGTCTATTTGCCTACAATCCACTTATTTCCAATACATCGAGGAATTCTACGAATGAACAGACGGTCTAGCCATGGGATCACCACTCTCTCCAATCCTAGCAGACATTTTCATGGAAGACTTTGAAGAAAGAGCCCTCTCATCCACACCTATAAAACAAAGTTTGTACAGACGTTATGTTGACGACACCTTTGTTATTTGGCCCCATGGTCATGAAAACTTACCAGCCTTCTTAGAACATCTTAATTCTGTAGACAAAATAATCCACTTCACCATGGAAATAGAGAAACAAAGCAGCCTACAGTTTCTTGACATGCTCATCAGCAGACAAGAGAGAAAAATCACCACAACTGTATACAGAAAACCCACTCACATGAACAGATACCTACACTTCCAGTCCTATCATCCAACCTCAATAAAACATGATGTAATCCAATGCCTAAACAAGAGAACAGAAAACATTTTCCATAAGACATTCATCAAAACAGAATGCCAAAAGATTGTAGATGGTTTTAAATAGAATGGCTACACTCCTCCTTCATCAAAATCTGCCTGCAGAAGAACACAACAGAAAGAAAGGATCAGAAAAACACTATCTATACTACCATTTACCTCTCCTACCTGCAAAATTTCAGTGAAAAACTCAAATGCATAGCCAAGAAATTCAACATAGAAATCTGGTGGAAATCCTACAAGGCATTAAGGTCCATTCTGGTTAAAAAAACAAACAGCAACTTACCAATGAGAAACACAAAAATGTCATTTATGAAATTCCATGTTTCTACAACGAAACATACATTGGAGAAACTGGAAGAAGACTCGTGACAAGAATAAAAGAACATAAAGACAGTAGAAGACTCATGAAAACACAAAATTCAGTCATTGCAGAACACGCCATGTCAACTGGACACACAATAAACTGGAAAAAAAAAAACTAGAATAATTGACAGACAAATTTTGGAAAAGAAGAAAAATTAAAAAATCATTTTATATTAACACAATTAAACCTTCACTAGAGATTCTGCATTAGAGGTGAGTAACTTGTGGCTAACATTGGTTGAATCTACAGGAAATCTCTCCTCAAATCAGAAACAGGGATAAAGCAACCAATCATCATACGTTCCCCACAATCCACCAGAATACTACTAAAACCGACAACACCATACACACACACTGACCTGAAGACGAAAGGCAGAAGACTTTTGAAACGTCATCCTCTACACTTGTGTCTCTACAACAGGCATTTGCCCTCCATTCTACAAAGTTTCATCATGAACACACTGCCCAAACAATCTATCAAAGAAGTAATGTACAATATTCAGAGGTATACATAAAAAAAATAATGAAATTTGAAGCAAAGAAATAATGCCTCAACTTCTCAAAAACATGACTAATAACATTAACCAACAAATATATATATATATATATGATAGATATACACACAATAATACAGGTATCTACTCAATAAAATCAATGAAACCAGGATTACCTGTTTTTATTTACAATAATAAGTAAATTACAATATTACTAAAAAATTGATATTTGAAAGAATCACTTGTTTATTATGGTGTTCAGATATTGGCAAGATAATACACTTGAAGAAATGATACATTTACTTATGGAAGAAGCTTTAAAATAGAAAAGTAGTTATATGTATGTATGTATGTCTGAACTTGAACCAGAGAAATTGGTAATCTCTTAATTAATTTATTATTATTGCAGTTATGAAAACTAAACAAAACAGAAGGTAAAGAAACGAAAATTTGTTCATGCCTTTTGATTTAAAATTTCCAAGGTATATCAGTTAATTTCCAGTTTGTTCTCATTTTTAACATTGACATGAAGCCTGAAATTTTTGAAATGTTCTAAGTTGTAAGTAAATTTTGGTCTTGTGATAAAATTTCTTGCATCAGTATGTGGAAAAGTGATTGACTGCAGCACTTTGTTCCAGATGAGATGTTTGAGAGTTAGGAGATCAGAAACATGAGCATGTGCAAATATCTTACTGAGATTTTTGCTCGGCAAATTGGATGTAATTTGTGTTGAAAGGTAGTTCTAGGATTAGTGTTAAAATTATCTTAATTACGTTAGTTACTCTGGTATTTGTAAGATGATAAGTAAGGACAGATAGTATGCAATTTTCTTTACTTGCTTAATCTTTTGTTGCAGGTCTGTGTTATGGCTGATATTAAAAACTTTGTTTTTGATATCTTTGATAGCTTAAGGTGGATATCTAGTGGAAAGGAAGTTTGATGTTTCCGTAGTCATATCAACAATAATAGTATAAGAGCTATGTAACTGTCATAACTGCATAAGTTGAAATTAGAAATGGTTTATTTTACAAGAGGGAGATGAGGAGTTATAGTCAAGGAAAGAGTGCGTTTTAATCTGCTTATAATGAGCCAAAGTGCTGGTAGTTTTGTTACCTTCACTAGTTAGTGTTGAATGGTTTGAAATGGTACTAGGTCTGTATGGAAGTTGCTTACATAATTTTTAAAGTCTTGAATTTCCTAGAATTGCATGTGGCCATTCCTGTAGCAAAATGAAGCAACTGTATAGTCACTTTTTCCCCACCAATTATACACACAAATACACACTTATTAGAGCATTTCAAAATGTTTGGCTATGTTACCATTTGAGGTCAAAAGCAATAGACAACAAACAAAAAAATAATTGTATATGCTTCTTGGTAGACGTATTCCACAAGGCAAGAACAAGAAATTTCCTTTTCTCCAAAACTTGTTTTTATGTTGAGAATTTTAGCTTCTCAGTGGCTCAGCAGTAAATCTGTAGGCTTACTACAATAAAAATAGGGTTTTGATACACATGATGGGCAGTGCACAAATATCCCATTGTGTAGCTTTGCAGTTAATAGGAATCAAACCAAAATTAAAAATTTGAATCAATAATAAATATGATTCATAAAGAGATTCCTGATTTAAATGATTCAAGTAAAGTTGTGTGTGAACATACATACATTTTTCTATATTATGTTGGCTTGACAATATTTAACCTTCTCACTACGAGTAGGTCGAAACGCAAATGTCATGACTTTTTAGAGTTACATTCAAAATTTAATTAAATTACTATATTATCATTGTAGACAAATAAACTTGGAATCAAAACATAGTTGATAAATCAAATTCTAATATACAAGTTTTAAATTCATAATTTTATAAGGAAATATTTAAAAAATCCTCAATCTTCCCCAGTATGACAATTGTGACATTTGTTCTCTAGGCCTTCCCTTTCTCTAATTTATTTACCACCCCTCTAAGAATATGGGATTTAATATAAGTTACTTATTATAATATAAATATTACTAAAGCAAAATATAATTTTTATAGCACCCAATCTTTGTTTATGGTGGTATAAACTAGAAAATCAGACCCACTTGCCATGCCCATCTGTCACATCTTATATCTCACAAATTGTGATGTATTATACTATATTATTTATAACCAATGAGAAGACATAGTTTTAATCTATCAAATGATGTATTATATTACATTGTTTTATGTACAGAGTATTGTCTATTTTGCCTCCAGTTTGAAAATTTATTTTGGGCTATTCACATCAACAAGCTTAGCTAAATTTTTCAAAGCTCTTATCTCATAGTTAGAAAGCCTGATAAATAATGATAGTTATAGGACATTATTTTATGCTTGTTATTATTCTGTGTTCTTATGTTCATTATATAGTTGAATAAAAATTTAGTGTACTAGTACCATTAGTATAAAAAAATAAAGTAGGCTTAACTTTCATTAAAAGACCACAGCAAAACAAACAATAAAACATAATTAAGTACCATATTTCTTGTTTTTCATGTATATTCTTTGTTTATTATTGTAGGAGTAACTAAAATTTAAAAATTAGAAACTTGTAAGGTTAGATATGGGTGGATTGGGTAAGATCGTGAAAAATAATAATTCTTCACAATGTATTCTCATGAGCAGCTCTTACATTATGTAATTCAATACGGTAACTTGAGCTATGCATTTGGTGAGTGATTTACAACTTTTGTGGTGGGAATAGTAGTAAGACTGATCAAAAGGCAATAAAGCAGTAAAATTTAAATATAAACAGATGTATACTGTTACAACATATAAGCTATTTGGAATGAACAATTGTAGTTTCTTGTTATACTTGGCAGGCATTCTAGAAAAACAAAAAGGGTAATTTTGATTTATTTCATATTTTTTTATAATGGTTATGACATCAGTCACATTTACCAAATGCATATACTGTAGAGAAAATAACAGATAAAGTATATAGTTTTACTGAAAAAAAAGTTTTTGGCACATATTTAGGAAGATTTATAGATTATGCAAATGCAATTTGATAGTTTTCAGGTGATGAAAAGTCATTTTAATCTTAGAATGTAAAAAATCTGATTTTTGTGGTAAAAAGGCTTGTAACATTTACTGAAAGTTTGCAAAATTTCTTGAAGATACACAAAATATTAAAAGTTATAGTATGGAAAGTCTGATGTTTAATTTGGGGGTCACAAGGTCAATGTAATGCACTGAACCCATAGCAAGAGGGTTAAACAACAAACAGCTGATTACTGATTACTTCAAGTATCCTTTTAAGTATGATACTCTAGTTGGTAAGTTGTTATAAAGAACAGCTGCTACTGATATTATTGGTTCTAGTTAGGATTTATAATAACATGTTTATCAATAAGTGTTGGTTGTTGTTTCCAAAATAATTTTCTCCTGAAATACAACGCTGTTTTTCTTTATTTTTCATTTCATTAATCCTCTCACTATGGGTAGATCAGAGTGTGCATGTCACAATCTTTTACAGGGTTACATTCAAAATTAAACTATATTATTATCAATGTATATGAATTTACTTAGCATCAAAACATTGTTAATGAATCAAATTTTAATATACGTTTTCTCATAAATTGACAATAATTCTCTCTTTATATTGCATGTTTATATTGCATCATTTATAACTAATAGAAAGGGGAAATTTTAATCTATCAAATAACATATAATGCTATGTTTTTTTCAGTACATAGTATTTTCAGTTTTGTCTTCAGTCTGAAAGTTTAACGTGTTCAGATTGAGCAGATAAGAGAATCAATTTAAGCTCATCTTGTCTTAGTTATAGGACATTGTTTGCTTTGAGCATGTTATTTTTGTGTTCTTATGTGCATTCCTCAATTAAATAAAAATCATTTAATGTACTATTACCATCATGACAAAAAACAAACAAGTAGGCTTAACCTTCATTGACAAACAACAGCAAAAATACGTGGTCAAAAAGTACTCTATTTCTTGTTTTTTATGGATTTTTTTATTTATGGTTATAAAAGTAGCTACAATGTAAAAATCAGAAACTTATTAGGTTGGATAAGTTTAGGTTATGAAAGGTAATTAAAAAAATAATAATATAAATCATTTGAGGTATGCTCTTGAGCAGCTCCTGTGTTAGTTATTCAATAAGGCAACCAGTGATTTGTGACTTGTGTGGTGGTATTATTAGGTAGAAGATTCAAAGAACAATAAAATTAAGTAGAAATGGATGTATACTGTTATGAGCCATAAGCTATTTGGGATAAACAGTTGTAGTTTTTGGTTACAGTCTGCATTCATTCTAGAAAGAAAAAAAGGATAATTTAGATGTATTTCATATTTTTTTATGATGGTTAGAAGGTTTGTCAAATTGACCTAGTTCATATAGAGTTAGGAGAGAGAAAATAACAGATTAAATATAAAATTTAACTGGAAGAAAAAAGCTTTCAATATTTAGTTACAAGGTTTTAGAGGTTACAAAAATGAAATTTTCAGATTAAGAAAAGTATTTTTCATTTTAACATGAAATCATTTTGGCACTCAGAGCAGTTAGCAGTTTGACTATATATATATATATATATATTCATGGACAAATCTTTAGTAAAAATGCTTCATTAAGAAATCTGTTTTTGTAGTGTCCAGATGGCTAGTAATGCTTATTAAAAGTTATAGTGTGGAAACTGCTGGTTACTTTGTGGTTATTCACATTGACTGACCCCATATGGAAGGAGTTAGTTTCCAACAGTTAGATTTTGTAGAATTTTTAATATTGTATACAAATTCAGGCTCAGATATTTTTACATTAGTTTTTCACACACCAGGAAGGGCATTTTTGAGAAATGTTGTGTGCATCATCAGTATCTCTGAATAACTCCTTTTATTATTCTTGGAGCATAGCACTTTATTCTGTTCCAACTCTTTGAGAATATGTATTTGTATATTAACTGACAAATTAGCTATTAGTCCAACACAATAGTTTCCTTTGTACATGTATTGTTTTTCTGTTATTTTGTAACTAGTTCATTCTATCAGTTTTTATAAAAGTTGTGTAAAACTTTTTTCATATGAAGTTATTCATTTAATGAGTTATGAAATGCTTGAATGAAACTGCATTTTTTTTTATATAGAAAATTAGCAGATGGTTTACTTAATTAATCCTAGTAGAATTTCAGTACTCTTCCATGTAATAAAACTGTTTACTATTATTAGACTGACTTCATCTCTACCTTAGAGAAAGAGTTTGATTACAAGGAAGAACATTTTGACTTTATTCAGCAAGCTGGGAGAAAGTTCTGCCTGAAATGTATCCTTGTCGTTTCTTGTTTTTTTTTCTATAAATTGTAATTGATATTTTCCAAAATACAGCACAGAAAACAGGTACATATCAGTATGTCATTATGATACTATAAAAAAGGACAAAATTTTAAAATTTATTATTTAAGCACAAGTCCTAATGTTGACTTGTGTGTTTATTCTTGAACATTTAGGACAAGATTTCTGTACATAACATGTAAAGCCAAAACCCTAAAAAATTTGCAGCATTAACATATTGTCATGAGAATAAAAAAAAAAAAAAAAATGTTAGCTGCTTTGTCAAATGTGAAGGTAAATAAAATTTCCAAAAAGTTATGCTGCATTCTCTTCTCCAGTTATTCACTTTAGTAAAAATGTTAAGTAGACTGTTTGAATTTTGCTTTTGTAATATATATTATATTTGTGGTTTTTCTACCATTATCAAGTTTATTTTTTATTTTACCTTGAAATTGAAAACACAGCAATAAAACTATTGTTATTTCACATATCTTGAAAGTTGCATGGCCTTGAAGCATAGTATTGATAGCATAGTATCATCATGTTGTTATTAGTAGTTGTAAGTATTTAAGTTCAAACAAAGTTCCAACAAATAAATGTAATCTCTGATAAAATAATAAACTAGTATTTAAATTTTTTAAATATCAGTTTCAGTATGAATAAAGAATTGTGCATTTGAGCTTTACGTTCTTCAGAATTGGTTTCTGGAATACCTTAACAACAACTAAAATTTTTCCTGTAATGCCACTGGTTCCATGTTTAAACATAGCATGATTGTAGTTATTATTTTGTTTTGTTTCCATCTGAAATAACAATTAAAATTAACATATAAAATGAGAATTTTTACTTATTTGTTTTATCTCAAGGTCATGTCTTTTTGTAAACATTGAAACACTTTCGATGGAACTTCACATGGTCTCATTTATTAGACCTAATGGTTTAACAAACATTCAAAGGTTATCAAACTTTACAGTTACCCACCCATGTGAACAAACAAAATGTTCTAAATAATGATAAAATTTTTCTTTTTCAAAATAATTCATGAAAGGGTAATTTTACATTGTCCAGTTAATATATATTTTTATTTTTTTCATGTAATCACATAAATTGAGAATCAGATATGTTCTTTTAGTCTTGAACACTTTGGAAAGAAACTTGTTTTAAGGTCTCTTTAACATGGCTGTAGATGGGGCATCTTTGTTTTATACATCTGTAAAAGAAGATAAAAACTGTGATCTCCTGTACAAGTACCTGGTCCACAGGATATATGGCTTTCCTTTCCGAACACCAGCCTTAGTTGTGGAGAAAGATGCTATATTTATGTATGTAAGAATAGTGTTTCATGAAAGTTTGTTATAATAAGAGTGCTCTAATACTTGGTATAGAGTGTTCTGAGTAGTCTTATTATGCATTTTCTGATTGTAGCTTTGGCTCTATTCTATTTTAAAATTTTTAACAAGGATAATATAATTTAGTAACAAAACAACTCAGGTTTTTCCTTCTTAGTGGTTTGAAGATGTCTAAAAAAAAAGTTGAAATTTCAGTCAGATATTGATTGTGTATTCATTTTTCTTTTATGAGGACATTAAATACAAAAAAATAACGTACAAAACTCATAATTTTATGTATTATAATTTTAAATTCTTTAGTGTGAAAAAAAAGAGTAATCCTCTAGGTGCTAAAAGTATGTAATTAATTTCAAATGTTATGATCTGGTTGTTTGAGTAGATGAAGGAAAAACATGCTATATCATATTATTGTTCAGTAGTAGACCTATCTTAAGTAATTTCTATTCTTTCATGACCATAAATGTTGCTAATGTTGTAAGTAAATTATTTAAAGCTCATAAGCCTGTTTTGTGAAAGTTGTAAATAATCTTTACTTGTGTCATGAATCTTATTATTTTACAGAATCACAAGTTTTATATTTGGTAATGAAGTAATAAAATGACTGAACTTTTTAAAGACATAATTATTAATTTACTGTGATTTTTTTAAGTTTCCAAAATAGAAAAAAAAATTTAAAAAATTGTATAACGGTTTATGAGTTTCAGACTACTTTTAAACTTATGTGCACAGGTGGGGGGTCAAAGTGACAATTCCACAACCTTTTAAAGAGTACATTTGATGTCAGAGTTTTCAACTATTCTTTTTACCCTACATTGCTGATTTAGCATTTCAGAGGTTTAGAGGTTATGCAAATGCAATATGCAAACTATGTGATGGGCAGAAGTATTTTTATTCTACACATGCACATCACCTTGTCAGAGCCTGAATCAGACTGACATAATCAATTTACAGATATATCTTGAGTACAAATACTTTTTGTAATACATCTGATTTTTTTGTGTAAGTTTTACTAAAAGCTTGCCGCATTTTCATGTAGATACACTTAGTAAATGTGGAAGTATAGTTAACTTTCCTTTTCTAATATATGTTCAACCCATTGGGTGAAACTTATGCCCATTTGGGTAATATAAACAAAGAGCAGGATATATAACATATTGTAAATTTGTTGTCTAGAGACATAATAAATGCAAAGCTAATCTGCAAATTCAGTTAAGTTATTGAATTATTACTTTATATATATATGTATTCACTAGTTGTATTATTTAGAAAACAAGAGATTTACCATGTTTTTATATGAAATACATTACCTGAAGTATTTGATATAAAGATGTTAAACATGCAACTGTAACACATACTAAGTGAGATGTTTATGGTAATCTGTTATTGGTATGAATTTGTAAATTATATGTATGTGTAATATTATTTTTCAATGATGTTTTGAAATGTGATTTTTAAAGCCCATCTGGCTGGGATAGTGAAAAGAAAATTTCAATCCTCTACGAAAGCCTTACATCTGTTGATCCAGATGACAACTTTTCAGATATTATTATCAAACCAATTGTCAGAAAGGTAAATTTTGTAAAATTATCAAATCCATGTATTTTCTGAATTGTAATAGACAAATAAAAAGTTCACTCTAGTTTTACTGTTTATTGAAACATTAGAAGAGTTTGGCCACATCACATTGAACTTTAACTGTAGTTGAGAACTGGATGTTTTGTAAGGAATATTTTAATATTATTATCTTTTACCATAACTTTAGAAGGTTGTATCAAATTCTATTCAGATATATTTTATGGTCTGAGGGCTGGGAAGAGTGGGTTATGTTCTGCAAATATATAGCTTTTGTAAATTCAAACTAGAATCATCCATTTTCTCAGGGTTCTTTCATCTGTACACTTTGGTAAATATAAATGAAACACTGAATCTGTATAAAAAGAAATGATCTGTAATTTTTAAGGATGCATGGGTACCTTGCCGGGTATTGGGCTACCCAGTAATACTCGGCTCCAGCAAAGTGTTGATGTTAGGCATCTAAGCCATAATCTTTGTGGCAACTAATGCAGTACTGAAATTATAGTCAATAATTAGTTTAGTTTTTAAAAAATGTGCTCCTAGCAACAAAGACTGACCACCTGCTGAAACTCTGGGATTCAGAGAACAATAGAGGTTAATAACAGGCATGGCTTGAGAAGTGGATTTCTGGGGAAGGTGGGGGTTTTGAGAAGTTGGGGCCAAGCATTGAAAGTTGAAAGTAAAACTTGAATGTTCTGTTGGTGGTTATTCAGTTAAATGTAATAAACATCAATTTTGTTTTTGTTTCTAATTTTTGTGTATGTTGTTGGTTTTTTGGGGGGGAGAGCTCGGTCCTGGTTGACGCCTGGCCCCGGCCGAAGCTTAGTGACCGGGTAGCTGGACCCAGCATTTGGACAAATTTTACTACCCATGCATCCCTATTAATTTTACAAATAGTTCAAAATTTTTATGAATTTTGTGTTTTTGTCATGTTCTTTCAGTGAAAGTTAAATGTGAAATTCTGGTAATATATATCTTCTACTTGTTTTGGGTATTTTCTTCAATATGATTCTGTACAGTGTTTTTTTCATTATAGTTAAATATAGTTGAGGTGCTGGATTCTTCTATTAGGAATCTGTAAAAATGAAGTGTTAGATTTTAGATAATAATTGTCATTTCTTGTCAACATGACACCACAAAAAATCTTGAAAGTTTGCTTGTGTATTTGAAAAGAAATATACTATTGGAATGAATGTAATTTTTATATTGTATCTTTGAACTACATTGATTTTGTAATGAACAAAAGATAGTTTTCTCATTAATAGTTTTTCATAGGCTTTAGCAATTTCTTTATTCAGTTTAGTTTAGTAACATTAAATTCATTCAGCCTTTCCATCGGGAAATAGAGGTAGTTGCAGAGGAAGATCAACTCTTTCTTGTCAAACAACAAGCTACCTTAACTCAACAGTCTGCACAAACCAGTAGGAATGTAAGTAGATAATTGAAAAAACTTTCAGTTAAACTGGGTTTTGCATAAAATTGTATTCCTTTTTTTTTTCCAGACTCTTGCTTTGTTTTTAAGTTGTTTCTTCAAAACTTTAAATAAATTATGTTTTATCAGATTTTTGACATACTTTTTTGTATTTTTTTTTCAGGTGTATTGTTTACAAATCATAAAGTGTTATTACAGTCACATGGTAGATATAAAGAAAACTCCATATTTAAAGCTATTACTTCATACAATTAGCTTGACCTAAAAGAACAACATTTCACCAGATGGGATGCACATTGAGAGTCAAAAGCTGTAATCAGGAAAGTTTGTACATAGTGCAGGGTGTTTCAAAAGGTGTTCAGTATGTCCACTGTCACTTTCAATCAGCTTGTTAAGCCTTGCATCAGCTGATCTGTTTATTGATTCTTGCAACATCTTGTACATTGGCACACATTTTATTCAAGTCACCAAATTTTGAGGCTTGGCATGGACTGGTTATTAGGGTGCTTGGATCACAATCTGCAGGTTGTGGGTTCAAATCCCTGTCATCAAACATGCTTGCCATTTCAGCTGTGGGAGTATTATAATGTGATGATCAATTTCACTATTCATTGATAAAAAGAGTAGCTCAAGAGTTGGCAGTAGGTGGTGTTTATTAGCTGCCTTCCCTCAGTCTATTAGAGATGGCTAGAACATATAGCTCATATGTAGCTTCATGCAAAATTCCAAACAAAACAAGCCAATTTTTGAGAGTTGAAACAAAACAAAAAGAAATAAAAGCAATACTGGTTTACAAGGAAAATGTTTCAAGTATGCAGTGTACTATGGTTTTGGTACAACCTATGTTATGCCTCAACTTCCTTGAATAAAGTTTCTGATTCTTGATGTACTTATGATGAAATGTGTTTTCCCTAGAAGAGATAGTTTTCAAAATATAATAATTTTAAGTATTTGTATTTAATAATTACCCTATAATTTGCAAAACAATTTCTCCAGTGTAATTTTTAGTTTGATGGTATTATAAAATATCTGATTAAAGAGCATTGTGTTTGGTATGTTATAGTAAGAAGAATTAGCTGAGGTAGCTTAAGTTGTAATTATTTGTGTTTGATAACAGCAAGAAACACCAGTTAGGACCCTAGCGGCCATGCAGAAGTCAGCAGAGAGAAGATTCTCTGGTTCTTCTGGCATGCCTGTTTCTCCAAAAAAGGTGAGATGAATCTATTTTCAAGAATCTGATGATTTGAATTTAAAAGATTTTTAAAGAAATGGTGGGAAAAGATAAATATAGTTTTATTATGTGTTAACCCTACTGACACGGGTCTTCCTATGGTCATGAATTAAAGGGCATGTCATCATATTTGTAGACTCGCATTCAAAATTGTATTGAACTACAATTTTATAAATGTATGTCAATAAGTTTGGTATTAAATTGTAGATTATAATTCAAATTTTAGTATTATACATTAGTTAATTTCTTAATTTAAAAGTAAGTTTAAAAAAAAATTGATTTTTGTGTGCCACATGGTATGTTGAATGCAGCATTGGTTCAAATTAGATATATGTGATGTCCAAATACAAAGACTATAGTTTCTTACAAATTAGATACTCAAATTACGATATTGACAAGCTAGAATATAAGATAAGAACCTCCTATCTTTTTTTATTTTCTGAGATATTACTATATATTTATTGAATCAATCAAAGTGGCCCCCCTTACCACTTCCATTTTTGAAAATACTTTCTTATGTACACCTACTTTACTCAATGATGTGTGTATAACCAATTGAAAGCTCAGAATGGTTTTCTCAGCCTCTGCATGGGAAACCTTTTCTTGTTAGATTCCAAGCATTAAGGTAAGACATTGGAGAGCTTGAAAAATCTTTTTTTCTGACACAAATACAGAGGAGTTACTAAGCTTGATAAATTATAGTGGCATTTTGTGGTATTGATATAGTAATATATGATTTTTTCTTATTTAAAAATGTAGATATAAGACCTAAAAAAATTTTGTTTTACATTCTCCACATACAAAATTTGATAAGGCTTAGGAACTTACAGCAAGCAGCAAACGAGTACAAAGTTCATAACAAGAACAGATCATTCTTCCTATATTATTTATTTACTGTTGTATGTTTTAAGAAAAATAACTGAAAGTTAAGAACTTATTTGTAAATAGTAATAATGTATATACATATGTAATGTATCATAAATGAAATGTGACTGTAATTTACAAAA